AAGCGTTAACTATATCTATCTAATCGAGCTTAAGGTCGAATTCTACTACTATAGCTATAAGGGTCTAAAAAGACATCCTTATTAGGGTAGTTGCCCTAGTAGGAAGATCCCCTTATTCCTATTAATTCCTATAGATAACTAGCCGGGCTTTATATTTTTAAAGGAAGCTATATTTATTAGTCTTATAGATAAAGACCTATTTATAGCTAAGGACCTATTTTCCTCTTCCTTTTTCCTTAAGGACCTCTTTAAAAGACCCTATCTCTTTATATAAAGCTAGGTAGTCTTTCTAGGCCTAAAAAACTAGTCTCTAAAGGGGTGTTTTTCTAGCTGCTTTTAGTTTGCTAGTAGGTCCGGGAGGTCTCTTTTATATACCTTCCTTGCTAATAGCTATAGCTTAAAGAGCCGGCCTACTATAAACGCTTTATAGGAACCGTCTTCTATTAGCGTTAGATAGAAGTTAGAAAAACGATTAAAATAAGGGAGAGGTTAGTCTTCTTTAATAACTATATCGGGCCTTATACCTTCCTTTACTTCTCGAAGTAAGGATAAAAAGGCAGCCGGGTAATCCTTTAAGAGAGGTGCCTTTCCTACCCCCTTAGGGGTCGAGACGGGAAGACTAATAAAGAAAGCTGCTTTTAGATCTTCTTCTTATTCTATAAGAGGAGGCATAGGGAGGTAAGCGTATTCTAGCTCTACCGCTTTCCTATAGTATCCTTCTTTATCTAGATTATCTAATCTAGCAGCTTCCTCTTTTTCTTCTTTCTTAGAGTCGGCGTTATCCTCGACTACTTCGACGTCGGTTTCTTTTTCCGTTTCCTTATCTAAGAGCTCTTCTTAAGACTATTAGAAAGGGGGGATTTAAATCTTCTAAATTAGCTAACGTTATAAGAATAAGAGGGGCTATTAATCCCTCTTTCCGTCGAAGAAGCTAGATTCGTCGAAAATTATATCCCTAGTCGAAATAACCTTCTATAAAAGAGGAATCTAAATCCGGAAGATATTTATAGAATTATAACTAACGAGGTAACTAATAAAGGCTCTAAGATTAAGCTTTCTTTTCTTCTTCCTTTTTAGCTACGTATTAGTAGTTATAGTATATACCTTATAGCTATAGGCACGAAGGTAGGCTAGCGAGGCCCTCTTTTTCGTAAAGAGCTTAAGGGGGGATTTTTAGTCTATTCCTTAGGTAGTCCCTCTAGGGGTCCGGTTCTATAAGTAATAGGCGGTCTTAATAACTTCCCTCTAAAGGTCGTATAGAAGCCTTATAGTAAGTCTTATTATACGGGCCCTTTCTATTATAGCACCCCTTAATCTTTCTACCCCTCCGTTCTAGGCTTAGGTATTTAGTACTAATAGGAGGGGTAAAATTCCCCCTTTTCGAATCTAATTTAAGATATCCTTCGTAAATAGCTCTCTATTAGACCGTATCTTCTTTACCTCGTAGCTAAAGTAGGATTTTATCTAGTTAACGAAGTCCTAGAGGGCAAACTAGTTATACTTACTTAGGTAGGTCTATAAGAAATAAGGGAAAACCATCCCTAAAAAGGCATCTATAAAAAACATTACCCTAACGAAGCTTTCCTAGTCCCTAGAGACGTCGGTCTAGTCGACCTAAATTTCCTTATACGGCTAGTCCGGCCGTAAAGGCGTTCGTCTAGAAATTCGTCTCCTAGTCTTTCCTTAGCTATAGTATTTATATTCGACGGTCTTTAGGCCCCTTATTCGTACGCCTTATTATTAGCCTAGCTTATATAAAGCTAGGGGGCCCGGGTAACTAAGTCGTGCATACTAAAGAATGCCGTCTCCTTAGGCTACTAAAAGAGGGTCCTTTATAGTAGACCTATTCCTCCTAGTAGGGAAAGCTAACTTCTTAAGAGGTTCCTTTCTAAGGATAGGTCGGAATTCGAGAATAAATTAACCGAATTTTTCCTCGATAAGCCTAATAGTCTGATTCTTCTAGACTAGCCTTATAGGCTTAGACGTTATATCCTAGAAGATTCCTTCCTCTTAAAGAAAGCGGAAGGAAATTAGGCTCGTTAAAAATCGAGGGCAAAAAGCTACCCTTTTTCGTCGAAGAATTTATATAGACCCGTTAGGTAATTTTATCGTAAAATTCACCCTTCTATATCCCTCTATCCGCACGGTTAATTACCTAGCAATAAGATATTCCCTTCGTGCCTTCTTAAAGGACCGGAATTATAAGAGTATATTATAGATATCGAGGGAAGTACTAGAGTTAAGGATAGCTTATTTTCGTAGGGGATAATTAGAGGGCTCTAACGGTTGGTTTTAGCCTTATTAATCCGTAGGGAAGATAAAGGCCGGATTTACTATACTAACGATTTTTCCTTGAATTTACGGCTCGAATAAGGGCGGCGGCGTTTATTACTATTTCTTAGTAACCCGAATCTCGTCTATCTTCTTCTATAACGAGGGGTCCTCCTTAAGAGACTATTATATTATTTCTTATAGCTTCTTTAAAGGGTTAAATCCTTTAGGTCGGTTTTCCTTAAGGACCTACTAGTATTATAATAATCGATAGCCTAGGGATTTATAGGCTAGGCAGCCGTTTCGCTTAGTCTTTCGTTTCTTTAAGGAATCCTTATCCCGATCTAGAAGGTCTGCTTAAAAACCCCCCCTTTTTACCCCTTATTGCTAATTTTAACGAAGAGGTTCGATTTCGACTAGTTCCTTAATTTTTCGACTAACGGACTAAAAGGTCTATTAAGGGACTAGTCGGGCCGGTCTAACTAACGGGACCGGGGCCGGGCCCGGAGTAAGAGGCGGAGCTAGGCCTAGGGCCGTAGCTGCAGTTAACGACGGCGTTAAGGCTCTCGAGGGAGGAGGAGCTAAAGGAGTAATAGCCGCAGCAGCAGCAGCGGGGGCCGTAGTAATAGGGGCTATAGGTCGAACCGTCTAGGTCGAGTACTAGCTACGAAGGAATAAGACTACTTATTATTATACTCGAGCAGCTTCTTTGTCTAGTTCCTAGCTAGCTTCTCGAAAGATAGTCGAGTAACCGTTACTAATAGGCTTTATTAGTAGAGATATATCCTATAGCTACTAGCCGGAAAGAGCTTCTATTAGGAAGTATTAGTTAGCTTCCTCGAGGATCTCTTCCTACTTAGCTAGCTACGAAGAAGCTAGTAGGTTCCTAGTAGAAAAGGCTCCTAGGTGTACTATATAGGTCTTTATAATACGGTTAGTTATATAGCCCCTTAAGGGAGCTATCGAGGTCTCGAGCTTTAAAAGCTACTACCTAGGAGTCTCTTCCTCTTAAAGAGTAATTAGCTTTATAGCACTAACGGATTCCGTTATCGCTATACGTATAGTAGTTAGCAGCTTCGTCTCGTAAAGGTATTCCTTACGATAACTCTCGTAGTTACCTAAGGTAGCAGAAAAAGCTCTCTATTATGCTAAGGTTAGCTCGGAGAAGAGGGAAGCTGCCTCTATAAAGTCCGTTGCCCTAGGACGAAGAGGGGGCTCGAGAGGGTCCTACTTATTAGAGAAGACTAAATTATAGATAGTTCTATCTATACGAGCCTATAGCTCCTTTACCTACTTATCCTAATCTTAGGGCTCTATAAGAATCGTCCTATAGACCGTAGGGACGGTAGAGGAGTCGTTTCTCGATATCGTTACGGAAGAGGGGGGGCAGAAAAGTTAGTTAAAAATCGGCTTCTTTAGTAAGAGGGGTAAAAGGAAGCTACGAGGGATATAAGAAAGGTGCCTTTTATAGCAGCCGGAAGGTATAGGAATTCTATTCCTCCCGGGCTTATAACTCTCGCGAAGAGAGATATAAGAAGTATATAAAAATATATAAAGGTAAAATTAAAAGTAAGGGGTCGGATAGGTAGGGTAGAGAGATTTAATTCTCGCGGGGGCAGTAATAAAGGTAGGGGAGTAATTATTATATTGCCTTTATTCTCCTTCTTTACTCTATCTAACGCCCCTCTTTATACCCGTCTAGTATCTTAATTAATAAAGAAGATCCTACTTAAAGAAGCTACTAATATCCCTTTAACTACCGAGATTTTTACTGGTTTTCCCCCTCCTTTCTAGCCGTTGCCGGTATATCTATCTTATCTCTCGCTACCTCTATAGGAAGCTATCGCTACTTCTACTTCCCTTTATGCCCTTACCCTCTTTTCTATACCTCTTTTTAGCTCCTTCTTCCTTCTTCTATACCGGGTGTTTTTTAGCTTCCTAGGTCCCTTATACTAAGGGATATCTCCGAGAACTACGAAATTAGGCTACGCTTCGCGATAGTAGTAGTATAAGTTTATTCTTATCTTTTATTTCTCTAAGTATTTCTTATTTTTTAGAGCTTATATTATCAATACTTTATTATTCCTCTTTAAGTTATTATCTATTTTATAAATTTAACTTATTTCTAGGTTAGTTAAGCTAAAAGTAGCTAGCCTAAAGTAAGGCTAGGCTAGGCTTAAAGAAGCTTATCTTTAGTATAAGCTAGGTATTATTTATTATCTTAATATCCTTTAAGTCTTAGTCTTAGGTCTTAGGCCTTCCTTCTAGGGTCTTTAAAAGGCGTTAGCCTTTTAGAGCTTCTTCTAAGCGGGCCCTAGCCTCTAAGGTACTTATTTCGGCCCTTAGGTTAAAGGGGGGGGGTTATAGGGGCCCTCCTTAGGTCTAGGCCGGGGTCCTAGGTCGGGTCCGGGCTAGGTCCCGTTAGCGGGGGGCATATACCCTTAGTTAGCGAGGGCGAGGAAGAGTTTTCCACCCGTATAGGGGAGAACCTCACCTAATTCGCAATCTTCGGCAGCATATTGCGCACCCGCTAGTAGCTACACGAGGCTGCACTTAGGGGGGCGTAATACGCTATTCGCGACGGTTCCAAGCGTATGCTTTTTTCGTGTTTTAGGCTTGGTTTCGAAAAGTTAGCCGAGAAGACGTGATGGTGTTTTAGGAGGGCTGAGACTATTAGGTCTGCTAGGCATGACTGTGGCCTCTTATGTCCACTCTCCTTAACAATACCTTTACCTAGCAGAATGCTGCGCCGCGTCATAACCGGGGACGTCGTTCAGCGGCATCGTCAACGGTCCCGCGTGGAAAAAGGCAGTCATCGTGTCCATGGCCTTTAGCCAGGTCCATGGCGGTAAAGACAGCACCACGGGCGGCAGAAAGGACGAGTAGGCGTGTACGGGCGTGCAAGGGTCGAGGATGGCGCCGAAGATTGACCTGCGCGAGTTGCATCGGTCGTCAAAGCGCGCCGCGTCGACGATCCTGCTGGAATCGTTGTATGGAGGCTCTGTCGGGAAGGGCGCTTCCCAAAACAGTGCGAAGAGTGGACACTCTTTCGTATTCAGTCGCCTCAGGGGTTTCATGTCGTCTTTCTCTGGCGCAAAGAAGGTCAAAATCAGGTCGATATTGATTTCGTCGGTGCCGGGGGCCGTGGTATCAAAGTAGCCAACCAACCCGTCGTAGGCTGCGTCGCGGTCGCCCAGCCGGACCTGGAACTGGTAGAAGGGTGTCTGATCGGAAGGGTCGGACGGCTGCGTCAGCTGACATTCCGGGCTCATCACCTCGCTCCTGGTGCTTTGGATCTCGAGCGGCGGTCCGTCCAGCTCGAGGGACCAGCCCGTGTTGTGGAGTGCCAGGGGCTTGCCGACGATGGAGTTGACGAACTGCGCGTAGGCGCTTGGGGCCGCGGGGAGCTTCTCTTCAGCCGTCGTGGCCATGTACCAGAAGCCGCGTAGGTACTCCGGGTCTGCCAGCTTGGCCACGAGGGCGTCGAGCTGCCGCGTGTCGGGATTCGGCTGAGCGTCCTGGTCAGGGCTGAAAGGCAACCACGTGGGCGAGCTGAGCGTGCCCAAGGGCCCGCCAAACCGTACCTCTCGGTAAAAGGTGCCGTTGGGCAGGAACAGCTGGATGCCGTAGTCGGCGTAGTTGGTGATGAGCCAGCCCCAGATGGGCGTCTCCCACTCCGTGACCGGGCGCCACTTGGCCGAGTCGCCTTCAGGGCTGCTGCTCTTCTGGGGGCGATGTTTGTCCTCGTCCGGATCTTCGGCAATGCGCTTGACAAACTCAGCGTTGAGGCGACCTTTTTGATAAATCTGCGGCGGCAGCTGAAGAAACTCGCACTGGTCGACCTTGTCCTATATCACCGTATTGGCGTATACTTTACCATCGTCCAGCTTGATGGTCTGCGGCTCATAAAAGTCGCTGATGCAGGGATACATGGGAGGGGGACCCTGCGGCCGCGGGCTCTGGTCAATGGCCATCAGAGACTGCCCAAACTTGTCGATAATGTTGAGCTTGCGGAATCTGCAGTACGAGTAAGCCACCATTGGGTACCAGACGGAGAGATTGATAATTACCTAAACTGCTCATGTGTCATCGGCTTAAACGGACAAAAACCATCTTTCAGAAAGTTGGCCAGCGTCGCAAATGGCGTCAGGGCCGAGTTCCCCTGAATCAACTTGATGTTCTCGGCGGTCAATCCAGCAGCATCAATCACTGCCGTCGCAATTGCGGTGCTTGACTCGCCAGTAGGACCCACTATCTTATTCTCGGGTTTGATGTGGCTGCCTTGCGCCCGAGTCGCCAGGCCGCTGGCGAGGCCAGATAGGGGCGACGATAGATACGACAGTTGGCCGACGTTCTTAAGTAAGTTGGCGCGGTCTTCGGCTGACAGATATTTGTTGAGAATATCCGGCGGCGTGTTCTGGAACAGTTGCTTGATCTTGGCCGCGAGCGAGAAGCTGGGCTGTGGAAGGATGAGCACCCGTCCCGAGAGCACGCGCAAGTCCCGCTTTCCGGATAGGGCTTCCCACAGCGGCGGCGGCTTTTGGTTGTCCGCTGAAGGAACAGTGATGCTGTAGCGCGCCCCTTCGTTGGCCGAAAGCCGAGCTGTGTGTTCGTCCAGCTTCCAGTAGTCGAAGGGAACGTGCTGGTACTCGACCTCCGACTCTGCGTACAGAGGGAACCAAGGCTGGAGATTACCCCACAGATCGCGCCAGCGCTCATCCGTGGTCAGTTTGTCGTGAAACTGAGGGTAAAAGATGCCTTCGGCAGGCGACCCAGAGTCGTCGCCGCCAGGCCGGATAACGTAGAATTCGGTCACTAATGCCACGGCCGGTGCCTTGAAGACGTCTGGGAGCTGATTCTCAAGCAGGCTAGAGAGGCTCTTGAACAGACCGGGTAGATTTGAGGAAGCGCCATCCTTTGGGGCGAGGGTCTGAAACGGCGCGCGTACAGCCACCTTGTTGAGATAGTCCGTGGGCCACCCAGACGTGATGCCGCCAATGAGGACAGTTGGATCGTTTGCGCTGTAGAAGACCGGAACACTCGCCGGCTTAGCAGTCGCCGATATATTTTCAACAGTGGCGTCATTTGGATGCAGGAGCTCCTCTTTACGGTGTCCTGCAGCTACTGGATGCGGTCCTGCAGGCCCTTGATGTGGCTCGACAGGTCTCCTTCCTTCTTCTTGTACTCTTCGTTTGCCGGGTTACCCTAGTTGCCGCTATTATTGCTGGGTCACTAACATACTTCCACCAGAGGGAGAACATGTCCCAGCGGTATTGCCTCGCTGCCATGCTACACGCGTCGAGCAGCGTTTGGGTCTGGTTCAGCTCGCGTTGCTTGAGGACGGCCGGTTTCTTGGGCTCCAGGGGCTGCGTCCCACCCTAGCCACTGGCGCCGTCCGGACCCGAAAAGTAGTATCGCGTCCCTCCCGGTGAACGGTTGAAAGACCAGTTATACACGGTATCCTTGGCCTCGCGCTGGGACTCGACACCATCGTCACGTGCTTGAAGCAGCGACCCGAGGGCAAGGATATCCTCCTCTAGTTTGTCAATGCCCCCGGACTGGTCTCTGCGGGCGTGGCAGTACGACAACAGGGCATCCATGGGAGTCGTGCCCACCGAGACCGCCGCCTTTGTCTGATCACGCAGGCGGGCGTTGAACGCATCGGCTGGCACGTCCTTGGGCTTGTTCTCATGGTCCCAGATGACATTGTACATGGCGCCGTGGCATAGGATGCGCAGCTGGCTCATGGCATCGAGCCAGGGGTCTCGATTAGGCGCCGTCTCGCTGACGCCGTGCAGCGTCATGAAGAGGGCATCCAGGCTGGCCCCATGCGCGACGCTCTGGCCTGACTTCCAGAGCGGGTCGGTGTCTTCCTTCCAGTGCCAGCCGAGCACGTAGTAGCTGGCCTTGGCCTGGGTTAGGTACTGGGGCTTCTTACTGCTGCCGTACTCGAAGTTATCGAGCACGCTGAAGACATTGGCGTTGTGCATCTGGAAGTCGGCAAAGAGCTGGTTACCGCTGCGCAGGAGGCTGATGCTGGGCGGCTGCGCGCTGGGACCCTCTTCGCCAGACCAGTCGGCTAGGGGCGTTTTACACCCGATGAAGACCTCGGCCTGCTCCTCAATGTTTACATCGGAGCCTGCGTGCCCGACTACGAATAGGGCCACGTTGGTTTGCAAGTCGGCATCGACCGGAATGTCCTCTAGGGACCACAGGTAGTCGCTCTCCACCACCCATGCCTCATACTCACGGTCTGCAAAGGCCGGCTTCGCCTCTACCGGCTAGACGCTGTCGAAATCGAGCTTACGAATGACAATCCACCGAGTCGGTGGATCGACAAACTCGGGGGTCTCGTTCGAGGCAGCGCCGCCGCCGTCACGAGCTCCGGGGACGCCCAGTCCGCGCCGGAGCAGCTCTTGTCGGCGACGACGCTCAGGCACCGACTCGCCGGATGAGACGCCCGCGCGGTAGCAGCGCGGCAGCGTCCAGTGGATGTAGACTCCGTGGCGATGGCGCAGGGGCTGGGGCTCAGGACGGCCGCCCAAGTCCGTCAAGCGCGAGTAGACCGAGGCCGGCGCCGTGTTGTGTAAGTCGGCGTGGTTCTGCACATCGCTCTGAACCAATTAGTTATCCAGGCGCAAAAAGGTGTAATTGGGTTGCGTGATGGGACAGATGCGCACAGTATCGTCGTCTTCGGCGCCTGTGCCGCAGACGGATGGGTTGAGGACAAAGACATCCAGCTGCATAGGCACCAGGACGGCCTCGAAGTCGGGAATGTTTGAAGACATTGCTGCTGCCTGGAGGAAGTATGTTTGATGAGTACGTGTATGTGATGGGTATCACCAGTATCACGATCACGAGAGTGCACCACACGACTTCTCTCCAGGTGAGCCGGCTATTGCTCAACAAAGCCTGTCGCAATGGTTTATAGACTATGAATCAGCACGTTTCGGCAGGCCAAGACTCTCATGGGCATCAGTAACAACATCTGGGCTTTCCTACATGTAGACGGACACGAACTCCTGGCACGCAGATGAGGCTTCATTCGGGATGTCCATGCCTTTCCCGTCTCCTCCGACTCACCCCCAGTCGATATCGTCTCCTCTCTCGTTCTACGGCAGGTTGTGCCGCGGTCGCAATCTCTGGGGGTTGTAACACATGCTGCAGGCAGATATTCAGCTCAATATATCCTCGCCGTTGCACAACATATGAGCTGTCGGTCGATGCGAGAAAGTCGGACAAGCATAGACTGTATGTATATTCGGCTGAAGGATGTGACTTCTAGTTGATAGCACCCTTACGGAAGGAGAGTCGAGATGGAGGTCCTCAACAGTAAGGACATACGAGACAGCGAAGCATGCATATTGCATTAGGTTAGCCTGCTCAGTTTCGCGCTAAAGTCATATAGGCTTGAGAACCTCTCTTCACACCCTTGAGTGTCCATCTATCACATTGCACTAGGGTGTTGCAACTCCCTGTTCAATGGCAACGCGGCGCCTTGGAGCGGATTACGCCTGATCCGAGCTCCAATGGGGGGGAGCTACAAGTCCAGTCTCGATTCCCTTTGCTCAAGCCACCTTCGGCAAGTTCTGGTACTTGCTTTGATGTAGTCACTTCCCGGAACAGCTTGATTCTCTGAAGTCAGTCTCAGCATCGAACCCGGGCCAAATTTCTGAGCCCGCGGCTTGATATCACTCAACTAGATCGAGTGATTTGGGCTCTGCTCATCGATATCGAAGACGAGCATATGCAGCAAACTTACACTTCGACCCAGCCTAGCTCCAGCTTCGATTTTCAGAGAGTTTGAACAACGATCAAGCCCCCCCACACGAACCGCACTTGCACCGTCGGCGAGACATCTCATCGACGAGAAAATTCTCGCAATGGGCGTGTCATCAAGACCCGTTGGCCACACCGAAAGGCCTGGTCGCTCGTCTCGCGCACCCCAAAATGACACACCCTACTACACCTATGCTGGCTCAGCAGGCAAGAATCCCGAGCAAAACATTCAGGTTATCAGCCCAGGCAGCCCGACAGACGAGTTCGTTGCCTCATTGAACGAGCAAAATGTCATTGTCCTGTCTGGCACGCCGAGCCCAACGGCCAGCCTAGACGACTGGGACGAGACCAAGAAATGGTTCCAGAAACTCGACCCAGAGGCCAATTGCTCGCTCAAGGTTAACAAATCGACGCAGAATTTTTTTAAAAGCTTTGAGTTTGAATTCTTGCAGCCGTGGTCCTTGACCTTCAGCTCAGCCAGCGATGTGCTGCTCTTCACCTTTGGTGCCCCGGCCGTGGTCGGCGGAGAGACGGGTAGCAGAATGCAGCCGCTTGGCATCGATGGCGATAGAGAGATGCTAACATGCGGTCTCGACTTTGTCCACACCGAGGAGATCACGGGTACGAAACTCAAGGACCTATTCACATACGCTGACGTAGCCGGCATGAGTGTATACGTGCCAAGCGCGATGCTTGATCTCGCAGTGACACTAACGAATAAGCGGAATGCCCTGTGGTTTGTTCCTGTCTCTGACAAGCGGGTCAACATTCGCCTGCAGTTCCAGATGCCCATCTTTGATCCCCTGCAGAATCTCCTCGCCGACTGCTTGAAAGGCTTAACGCTTAAGGCCACAGACGTCATCTTTAGGAAGCAGACGCTGTTGGCTACGACAGAGGAGGGAGATGAGCCCTTGGATCATGGCGGGTCGCCTTCAGCATTAATTGTTCCGTCAAGGCCGATAACCAAGAAGTGTCAATGGTTGCCGGCGTCGAGTTTTCGCCTTCGACCATCAATTTCACCTTCCTATTTATCTCTTCAAACCCCCTTACTGGCATCCTCAAGTGGCTTAGCTCACTCATTGGAGATGAGACGCTAGAGGACATTGTCAAAAGCATCCTGAACAAGGAGAACGACACTAAAGTGCTTCCCGATTTTACCTTGCGGGGGTTGACTATCGAGCTTAGTGCTCTCAAGGACCCAACGACGCCAAGACTGTCGTCATTTGCCTTTGATATTGAGGTTTCGGCCAACCTTGGTATCGGGTCTAGCAAGAACCCCGTCATCTTTCTCGTTTCGTATAACCGGAATAGTTTCTCAGGTGGACTCGGCACTTTGGCAGGTTAGTTGTGGAATGGTGAGTGATCCCAGCACGAAAGTCGATTGGGCCCACAGGATCCCGCCTAGAAATTGACATGAAGCCGACTGCAGATTTCGATCGGTCCCAGGATCTGGACTGGCTGCCAGACAAGGAGAAATGGACCATTCTGCAGCCATTAGCGTCTCCTCAAGCTGAGGCAATCGAAATCGCAGCTTTGATACCTACTTAGACGGTGGTTAACATTCCCGACACGCTGCCCTCGCAGATAATGCGGGCCTTTATCGAGCTGTCGCAGAACTCCTTCACCATCTGGTGCACCGCCAATGCCGTTCCCATCTCCCCGGGCTCTGTCCCTCAGCCGTGTCTGGACGAGGTGGTGCTGGATGCCTCCTTTGCGTGGGGTGAAAGCAAGCTGTCCACCCTCGACGTGGTGGTCAACGCTATCGTTGTGCCGAGCGCGAACTCGGACGTCGACGTGCCTGCTGTTCTGACAGGATCGTTAAGCTACGACTCATCAACGAAATCATGGGGTCTCAAGGGTTCCATCAAAGGGCTATATGCCTCCGTTTTGGTCGAGTTCCTTGACCAAGACGCAAAGGATCACGTCGGGCCCTTGATCGAATCCATCGCCATCGACACACTGACTGCCGAGTACAAGTACGGGCCTGTAAGCGAGGGGACTGACCAGGACAAGACCAGGGGAAGCAAGTTCATAATTAAGGGCGACCTGCTCATTGCCTCATTTCGACTGAGCCTCAACTTTAGACATGATAGGGACGGCTTCAATATCTCGGCCGCCCTCAATCCGAAGGACAAGGACGCAGGTGCCAAAATTGGCGATGTGCTGGCTGCAATTCTGGGATCGGACATTGAGCTGCCAGACTTTGTGTACAACACGATACTCGTGGGCGACAGAGAGGACGTGTTCAAAATGGCCGTTGAAAAGAGAAAGACAACGGTCAAAAACGTCACCACAAAGACGTTTCAGTTCCTGGCGCAGTTCAACATCAACCAGCTACACATTGACTTTGCACAACTCCACAACACGGAATGGGCCGCTACGGCGCCGTCCAAACGACTGGTAAAGGTTGCCATCAGCGGCTTTACAGGCATCGAAGTCGAAATTCCACTTATCGGTACTTTGACACAGCCTCTCGATGAGCTGTATTTCCAACGGGTTCAGGATCCACCGAGGAGCAACGCCGCGCCTGGACAGCTGACAGGCCTGACTCGCCTGGACATCGATCAGCTCAACAGTAGCTTATCCGACCGGATCATGGTCCGAGACAAGATCAAACCCGATCAGCAGAATCCCAAGGATCTTTTGGCGGCGGGCGGATGCCACTTTGCCGTCATCATCCGCAGCACCACCGTCGAGCGGTCATGTCTGCTCAACTACAACTTTATGAAGCCGAAAACTTCCACCAGCACGACAGGGAAGGCCGTGGTAAGACAAGAGCCGGTACCGACGGCCTCACGAGGCTGGGAAAGGCCGAGGCAGACGATGGCGGGCCAAGTGCTCAGGCCCCGTTCAAGAAGGTGGCAGGACCCCTGTCCATCAGCAGCGTCGGGTTCAAGTACAAAGACAAGAAACTGGCCATTATGTTTGATGCTATATTCCAGCTCGGCCCTATTGGCTCCTCACTTCTTTGATTCAGCCTCACGGCCGAGTTCGATACGCTCCACGATTTCCCCAGAATCACGCCAAATCTCGAGGGCCTTGCAGCGTCCTTTGACAAGCCGCCAATGTCTATTGCAAGCATCATTCGCCATGGCAGTGACGGCACTCTAGATTACTTTGCCGACGGCTTGAATTTTGGCTGGAGGCCGTATGAGTTCCAGGCTGCGGGATTCTACGGCATAATGACGCCCGCCGGCAGCAGAGGCGAGCTCCGAACCGTCTTCGTCTTTGCAAAGCTCACCGGACCCCTCGTCACGCTTCAGTTTGCCGAGATTGCGGCGGTTTGCGGCGGCTTCGGCTACAACAGCACCGGCGCGTGCCGACGATCGACGAAGTCTACCAGTTCCCCTTCATCGCCAGCCTGGGGCTCAGCGGCAACGACAATGCGTTGCAAGTGCTGGAGAAGCTGGTCGACCCAAGGCCGGGCGGGTGGTTCCAGCCGCTCGACAAGGTGTACTGGGCCGCCTTGGGCATGCGGATCAAGGCCTTCCAGATACTGAGCGTCGATGCCGTTTCAGTGGTACAGACAGTTTGGCGCTGCCGTCAATCTGGGTCTCTTCGCAGTCGCGCTTGGCGGTATCCCGACTGCCGATTCGCCCATCAAGCTTGCGCACGTCGAGATGGGCACCTCGGCCATTGTTGATTTCGACTATGGCACGCTCAAGATCGAGACTCAGCTCTCTCCACGCTCCTTTATCCTCAGCCAGGACTGCCACCTTCGCTCTCTACTATTGGTTTGATGCGCCTCACGCAGACCAGTCAAACGTCGGCCAGTTCGTCTTTACCCTCGGCGGCTATCATCAAGCGTATCGTGTGCCCGTGGGATACCCAAATCCACCTCGTCTGAGCATCAGCTGGAGTTTAGGGGGCGGCCTCATAATCTCGGGCCAGGCTTACTTTGCCATCACGCCTAAAGCCTGCATGGCCGGCGGCCGTCTGCATGCCTCATTTAGTGCAGGGCCCATTTCGGCCTGGTTCGATGCCTTTGCCGACTTCCTCATCAACTACAAGCCCCTCCACTTCGATATGCAGGCAGGGCTCTCTGTTGGAGTGGGCTTCAGCATCGATATTTGGTTCATCCACATCCGCATCTCGGTCGAGATCGGGGCCGAGCTTTACCTTTGGGGACCGCCGGTGGTTGGCCGTGTCCATGTCGACTTCTGGATCGCCGCCTTTGACATCAACTTTGGCGATTACTTGCAACACGACAATAGGGTCACTCTGTCCCAGTTCTACCTCCTTGTCCTGCACACGTCATCGCCGGCCTCAATGGCGTCGGCGGACAAGGCGCTTCTCGCCGTGGGCAATGAAAAGGAGGGCCAAGAGAAGGAGCTTAAGGCTGCCCTCTCGCGGCCAAAGAACGAAGGGCACAACTTCCTCGCCCAATCCGGACTAATGAACCCATTCGACAAGCCGGAGCGGGAGCAGAACGAGCCTTGAATCGTGCGTGCCGGCACTTTCAGCTTCGTCGTCGAGTGCAAGATGGCCATCAACGTTGTCGAGACAGATGCGAACAAGGACCCCGCCATCACGTACGGTGACGCGTCCAAGGGACTTGACGTTTTCAGCAAGCCCATGAGGCTCACGAGTCCCATGACATCAACTCTCGTGATACAGGTTAAGCAGGATAACGCGAGCAACGCGGATGAGGGATGGCAGTTTGACAAGTATCTGAAGAGCGTGCCGCGAGGCCTGTGGTCAAAGTGTAAGATTGCCGATGAGTCTGCCAATGAATTTTACCCCTTGGTCAATTTGGCCTGACACGCCGCAGATGACCCAAGCACCGATCCCCGCAACAGCGACAAAAATATCGGTGACCTTCTCAAAAACGACAATGGCGCCATGCCCCTCATGATGGGCGTAAAATTCACCTCGCCAAAGCCGACCGTGTCACCTGACCCCTTCCCAGCATTCAAGGTTGCCGACGCGGACCTGCAGCGCCTCTTCGCCAAGCGGCGTTTCCCTACCATGGTCGACGCCGACGCCGCCTGGGCTCCTGCTAAGCCATTCTCGGGTGCCGACGTCCAGAAGCAATACAATGCCGTGTACAACATGTGGACCAACCCGGCTCTGGGAACGGACGACGCTGGGCAAAAGGGGTTTGTAGGACTTTGGCAGAAAGCTTGAAGTTGGATGGGGCAAGTGGGCTCAAGGATATTGCGGGGGTTCCAGAGAGGTTGAAAAAGGGGTTCATGAATTTGTATGTAGCGGCGCCGCTGTTGACAACGTGAATGTTTTAATCTGATAGCCACTCTGCACTGTCCGGGAGACGAATAGAGACATTAACGAGCCAGCTTGGGTGATCCTAAGATTCTATTCGCTACCAAGTTCGTGCTTGCTAAGCCTTTCTCTAAAATCCCATCTTCGAGGCGAGTTTGAAATAGGGTGGTTGCTAGTAATCTCGTACCATAGAGCCGGAAAGCCCAGATTCTCTGTGATGGATCGATAGTGCTTGGTTTCGACCGTCTCGCTAACGGGCAAAAGTGTACAGAATTCAACAAAAGTCTTTGCGGTCTCAATCTTTAACACATCTAGCCATAGAGCCGAAGTGGAGCAGAGGGCTATCCGTCCCGAAGATTTAACGTATATTGACGAGGACGTGGTATTCCGCTGAGAATGTTCATCGTCAAGGCGGCGAGAGGGGAGTTTGCAGTCGAGTTCCATCATTGGGGTCCATGACCAGGGAGCAGGCAATAAAACACTTAATGACGAGATACGTGCTGTGTTAGCAAATCAAATCGTGATGTTCATTACTACGTAGTCCTCCTTGAGTGATTGCTAGAGCTAGAGCGACTCATTTGACGCTTGAGCCATTTAAAGGTCCATGGGATAAAAAAATGCCCGAATCGCGCCTCTTCTTTCCTGAAGCTGCGGGTTCGTTCTGCCTCGAGGTCCTGCGGGCAGCCCTCCGAGAGACCTCTTCCTCCGCATCCACCATTTGCGCATGTGTTGTGGTATACCCATGATGGAGGAGTGCTTCACCCACATGCTGAGAGCTCGTGTAGAGGAACGTTGGCCATATAACCCGGGCGGCTCCATCGCCTGCCAGTGTCTTCTGGCCGGCCGAATCCTGCTTTCGCTGGCGCCCGTGGATCTTTGGCGGTGGTACTGGTGAGGCGGAGTGCTCTGGGGTGTCTGGAACTGGTGAAGCCGGGAGCGGCTGCCATTCTTCGAAATAGTTGAAGGAAAAACTGGGCTTCACCTTCTCCTCCAGCTTCTGTACTAGCACCCAGTTGCTGCATATCTTATCAGAAACTACCTTGAGGCGGGATTGGAACAATTCTTGGTACTCGTTCGGGACCAAGCTCCCCAGGGCGTCCACCACATCTGCAACAGCGTGCTTGATACATGATTGCCTGCATTGCGCCTGTCTCTCTGGAAGAATCTTGAGCATGACAGCGCGGACATAAGCTTCATGAAGAGGGTCTTGGGCTCCCAGCGCGTTCAGAGCTTTATCGAGTTCAGTCTCGCGAGTCATGTAGGTTGGTCTCCATACATGCTTAGCGAGTGCCCTGCCGTATACAATGAGGGCGGCAGCAACTCTCATTTCTTTGGCGGCTGGAGAGTTGGAGGACGGAAGTGGAACTGCATGCTGAATCGATGGATGGTTCCTGACACTTTCCCAAATCGTGGAATCCACGAGACAGCTGTTGTCTAGATCTGGGCCGAAGGACTCATCCAAGAAACTGTAGGCATCGTTGAACATGGCCCCAAGCGCTTCGCAGCTATGCAAAAAGTATGAGCAACGGCACGTAAATGTGCCTCGCTGGTGCGTGTCTTGATGATACTTACATCCGGTCTCTCTGTGGCTGGAGGCCCTCGAGCCTCACGACAAAAGACTGAACAGTAGCCAGGCTGTCCAGAGCGTTGGTAATCTCGCCGGTCTTGGTGCTGAGATCCTGCCTTGTCGAAGCCAACTCACGGCTCAGCCTGTCTCTCTCCTTTTCGACGTTCTCGAGGGTCTGGATACGATTGTCTTTGCCTTTCAACTGAGTGATCAGGTTCTGGAGTCGCTGTTCCTGCTCTTTCAGCTGAGCTCCCTTGCTCGCTAACTTCTGCTTTTCGTCCTTCAGCTTGTCGTCAGTTCTTTCCTTGCTCTCTACAGCCTGTATGACCCGCTCCTTCTCGGCGGCTACGTCTCGCTCATGCCGACTCCTCTCCGCCTGCAGTTGGGCTTCCTTCTTTGCCAGAGCACCAAGGTTCGTATTGTAGGCAGCATCGAGCTTTTCAAGCTCCTTTTGGGAAGCAATCAGGTCCTGGCGCATATTCTGGAGCTTCTTAAAGCCTTCAGAAGAGCCACATGTGCGGAGCATGGTGAACAGCCCATCGATGGGGTCTTCCATGGCTTCTTTACCCAATTCAGCGGCCGGTTCTTTCTCTTTTTGTGTATTCTGGCTGACCATTGACGACATTGTAAATGGATACAGAATTGCAATTTCGTCGTTATGTCGAGTTGGGAGTTGGACAGGATTGACCAAGACAGAGGCCAAGGGGCGAAATCAAGAGAGGCTGAACATGGTGACCGATGAGCTCTTAACGGCCGGCTTCAGGCCGCATATGCGGTCTCGGAACTTATGTATCGGAACAATGTAGTTGGTCTGTTGGTCGTGGTTCAGATGCATTGATGGTGCGGGGTTTGGTATTATCTTGCAGCCGAGCTACGAGCTCGTGGTGGCGTACATCAATGTCTAATACGTCGCCTTACATTCGCCTGGAAGCTTCCGGGTGAGTGCAAATGCAATGCGATTTACTCCGCGGGTCCTCCCATTTCAACTCCAACGCCCAGCCTGCCCTACACTTGAACCTCCGTTTTCGCCGTTGACAGGCCTGCTTGAAGGCCACCATGAATCCTTCAATCGCGTGCCTTGCTGGAAGACTGGAGCAACTGGAACTGGATATTGACAGATGCAAAGCCTGTGCAATTCTAGGACGACGATGGAGAGAAGACAAGATAGATACACTCGTGTTCGCGCAACTGTCCCCCCCCCCCTCCCTTCTCTAGCTCAGCTGCTACCGATTTAAACCAATAAGTTCTCGCATGAAATGTAATGTAACACATGTATCCGGGTCTTGTCGCCTCGCATAAATAATGCCGGCTGCGTAGCCATGGCAGACACATAGCGAGCGAGCTATTTCTTTGCCAATCCCTGAGCCAGAGTGCGTCCCGATGTACGACCAACACACCTCCTTCGTTATGGTGCACCACCTAGGATGGACGAATGGCAAGTACACTGCCCGACCTCTTGCTGCTTCGTAAACAGAGGCGCGTCCGTTGTGCCACTTGAGTCCTAGATTTGTCGTCCCACACCGCCAGCGAGTCGCTATCCGTGTATGGTATTGGTTGCTTCACTTAGAAATCCGGGTTATGCCGACGCCGCTCATCCCGCATGCGCCTGGGATGCCAACTGCATTACGGGAAGATGCCGTAGCCGTTATGAGGGTGTCAACTCCGAGCCTATTAGCGAGCGCCCGCCTTCCGGTCCGTCGTCATGCCACAATGGCAGTGAGAAAGCCAACGAGCATACTGTTGACATCTCTAGAGTAGGCTTAGTGAGTCATACATGGTGCCTCTGACTGAACTTACATACATATATATATTGATAAATTCGGTGGAAGCCAGCCATTAGGCGCGGAAGGACGCCACTGTACTATATGAGGAGATCCAATGTCGGCAGGCGTCTGACGGGGCGCTTCCTGCATCCGACCCCATGAAGCCATTCTCCCAATTCCGCCAAATGCCATCTCCAGGTTGACGTGCATATTGGACGCCTGCCATGGCCGTCAGGTTCGATGCCCTCTTGCGCATGGCAACCAGAAGCTGAAAGGGAGCGAGAATGCTGCCCGCGACCCAAGAAATCATGTCAATTCTGCAACTGTCAGGCTGGAGGAACAAGGCAGCAAATTGCCTACCTCTCTCAGCCTTGGGCATTGAGGCTCCAGTAAAGCTCCATTAATTCGCAAGCAATGGAACAGCCGAGAGAATTACTCCCCTATTTCTAGAACTTCCGCTACCTGCCCCTCAAATACCGCTGGCCTCACAACAAGTTAAGGCGCCGCCTCCTACCTACCAAGACGGGCCTCGGCCTTCGCAATTCGTTCTATTATGCTCGCTCCGCCGAGCGCCTGAACCCTTGCCTCTTCGTCTTGCGTCCCCTCTGGCCGTTTCCCAGCTGCTACTTCCCAGCCGTCCTCCCGCCGCCGCCGCAGGATATTATGGCCGCCCCCGACGACATTAGCTGCCAGGTCCATGACCTTATGTCCCTCCGCTCCCTGCCATTGTGGTGGGCTCGCGACACGCCGCAGCGGGTATTTTATCGTCTTTATAAGAGTCTATGCGCTGCAGACGGATATATAATTACGTATAAGACTTAGTATTTCTAGCATGGGCCTTTTTTTTTAATATTATTACTCGCATGCAGCCTCTAGGGCCATGGCGAGGCTAATAGGGGCTTAGGCCCCTATAAGCGGTCCTAGCTAGCTATAGAGCCCGGGGGCTTATAACTAATTAGGGAAAGGGTAGCTATAAAGGCAAAGATAAAGGAAAGGTTAGTTTAGTTCCTCCCGCGCGGTGTTTTTCCCCCTTAAGGGCCCTAGGGCCCCTAGGGTACTCCTTTTTAAGCTACTTAGCCGTTCCTATATCTATTTTAGCTAAGAAGGTTAGAAGGGCTTCCCTTCCTTCCTTAAAGCTATAGAGAAAAAGTAGGCTAAGGGCCCCCTTCTATCTCTTAGAGGTCTAGTAAAAGACCTCTCTTTCCCTCCTATAGTTTAGGTACCTTAGGATAAGATGCCTAGCTATATACCTTCCTTAGCTATAGCGGTAGTCGTCCCGGTCTACTTTCTTAGTCTTTTTTAAGATGGAAAATAGGAAGCTAGCCTTAAAGAGAAGCTAGTAAAAGGCCGAGAGGGTCGGCCTAGGCCTCCCTATAAGGTTCTTCTCTAAGCTAATAGCTAGGTAGGGGGGTCTTTTAAATAAACGTATAGAATACTTACCTAGGCCCTTAGCCTTAGGGCCTTTAGCTACCTAAGTAGCTACGAGGCCCTTTTAATAGTCTTTAATAGCTTACTAGACCTTTCTTTATAAGTAGCTAATAAAGACTAAAGGGGTCCCTTAAGTAAGGGCCTTTAAGCCTTTCTTAGCTAGCTAGTCGGCTAGCTTATTACTAAAGATCCTTAGGTAACTAAGGTACTAGTATAGCTATACGTTATAAAAGGCTTCTAAGCTTATTAAGAGCCTTTTATTATATATAGCTAGGTCTAAGAAGCTTATTACTTTCTTTATAGCGGCTTAGCTATCTATAAAGATATAGGCCTTTATAAGGGGGTTAAGGGGGCTAGGCCTTAAGGATTAAGGCCTCTTAGCTAGGTCCTCTAAGACCCTTAGTATTATAAATAGCTCTACGTTAGCTACTTTAATTAAGGGTCCTAGGTTCTTATAGTACGCTTTAATAGGCTTATTTTCTAGGCCTATTTTATAGAAGGAGTAAGCGTTAGTCTCTATAAGGGACCCCTTAAGGCACCCCTTAAAGCTATTAGTATAAAAGGCTAAGGGCTATAGCCTAAAGTCTTTTAAGCTAGCTAGGCTAGCTAAGAGGCATTAGTACTACTTCTTAGCTAAGGGCTTAAGGGCCTTTATTATTATAATAAAGGCCTTAGGCTCTAAGGCTTATAAGGGCTCCTAGCTAGCTTTCCTTCTTTCTAAGTTATAATTAAGTCCTATAATAGCTACTAAGCCTTTAAGAAGGTAAAAGAGTATTATAGAGTAAGTAAAGGTATATATATAGGTACTATCTATAAGATAATATTAATAAGCTATATAGAGCTCTTTTATATATAGCTAGCCTATATATATATATATATAGGATCCGGCCCTTTATATATAACTATATAGCTTAGGCTATAGCCTAAGCCTATAACTTATAATAGTTAAAGACTCTTATATAATACCCTCCCTTAAGCGCGGCGCGGCGCTACCTTATTAATAGCTTTTATATAATTAGGCCCTAGGCTCCTTATACCGCTAGCTCTACCTTACCCTTTCCTATTAATCGTGCTAGCCTTACTAGCCTTACTATCCCCGCGCTTATTAGCCTAGGTAGCTAGAACCTAGCTCTATACTTATTAGCTAGCTAGCTATTTAAATAAGGGCGTAACTTATTATATACTTTAACGGTAGCTATAGTATATACCTAAAGATATACCTATATAAACGGCAATAATAGTAGCTAGATACTAAAGGACGAGGGGGTCTAAGGGGAATAAAGGAAAAGAGAAAGTACTAGGTAGGGCAAGGCAAAGGTAAAGAGGGCTAAAAAGGTATATTAGTAGAAGAGGATATAAAAGAAGATAATAGGAAGAAGATAATAAAAGAAGATGCTATCTACTAGCTAAGGAGGAAAAGAGACCTCTTTTATAGACCGAATTTTCCCTCCTTCTTCCTTAAACGAATAAGGGCTAAGGGATTATCTAATTAAGAAGAGGGCTAGCTAGAGACTCTACTAAGGACCCTACTAAAGACTCTACTACGTAGGCTATATATATTCCTTAGGGTATAGATGCCCCCGTTAAACTCCTCTATAATAAAGAATAGACGCTACCGTCTACTAAGTAAGTAAGTAGGTAGGTAATAGCTAAGGAATAAAGAAATAGATAAGTAGCTAAGTAGCTAAGTAGGTAAGAAATAGCCTAATATAAGACTAAGAGATAAACTAAGTAACGGGCTAAGGAATAGGCTAACGAGAGACTAAGGAATAGACTAAGTAACGGGCTAATAGGCTAACTAAAGACTAACGGTAAGAAATAGTAATAGAAGGAAGAGAGATCCTTATAAGTAAGGGAAAGAAGAAGCTAACGAGGAAGGTAAAGGAAAGAAATCTTAAAGGAAAAGGGGGAAAAAGTCCCTAAAGAAATACTTAGGAAAATTATTTAAAAATTATACCCTTTTTTCCCCTAGCGACTTTTATATCTAGCTAGCTTTAACTAAGTAAATACCTATACTTAGGAGGAGAATACTAAAGATTACTACTCTTATCTTATTTATTTTAGGTATTTTAAAAAAAGAGGGATTTTTTATACTTTTATTAAGACTACTTAAAGGTACCTACTACGTTAGCTACTATAGACCGTGCTAGGAAGGGCGGAAGGAAGGATCTTTTATATATACTATTATTACTATTAAAAAGGTTATCTATTACGAAAGTTATCTACTAAAGAAGCCGTCTACTAAGGAAAGGCTTAGTTATTATAAAGGAATTTATCTACTAAGGAAAATAGTCTATTAAGGAATAAGCTATCTATTATAAAGGAATTTATCTACTATAGAGGAATTCGTTTATTAAAGAAAGGT